GTCTAAATGAAATTTTTTGTCAAATGAACCGTTGCTTAAAATCATTCCTTAAAAATAGGTATAGTTTTACAATTTGATCTTTTAACTTTGGAATTTTGTAATTCATGTTATCATACTCTATAAAAAGTCTCATAAAATTTTTGGCTAAATTCACTCAATCAAAAGATATTCAAGGTTAAAGTTGAAGTCAAAACGAAATTCTTGTTTTTTCCTCTGTAGATTTATTTTTATTTTATATGGATGATAATTAGTTTTTTTCTTTATAAATGTGTAATATAGGTATAACTAATTAACAATTTCCAATAAAAAAAAACAACATGATTGTTATTATTTAAACGATTAAATAACAGTAAAAATGATATTTAAAAAAAAATAGCTTCTTAAAGCGAAAAAATTCGAATGTGTTATACATTTTTTTTATAATATTCAGTAATTTTCGATAAAAGTCAGTCAGGTTCCGGCACTTGAGAAGGCACGACGCACTGTAGCGAGAGCTCTTAAAACCAACAATAATTTTTAAAAAGTGCAAAACAATACAGTGAAACAAACAATTTTCATAAAGTGGAAACTAAAATGGTGTAACGGTCAACGAGGAGTGAAGTGTTAAGTGATATGAATGAGTTAAGTGACGGGTTTCAGCTTCTGGTCCTATATGTATGCCACCTGTCATTGGACGCTTTTCACCGGACGAACAAAGGTGGTCAAACAAGAGGGGAGGTGGCTATCCGCAAAAAAAATTGATAAGTAACCTTAAGCATATGCATGACCTAACACATAATTTGCAAATTAAACACGACAGATATCTTTAAAACCCTAAGAAAGGCACACTGCTTAAAATCTAGAAAAAAAAACAATAAACATCAGTAACAATAGAAACATTAGAAAGACAATACTAACCAAACACCATAAAATAATAAAGAAAAAAGACAAAACTTCCCAATCGAACTATCGCGGAAACACCAAAGCAGTGTATGACAATAAATCTGTCAACAACAAATGCATAAGGCAAACCCAAACGAGACCAATAGTAAACATTAGACACACAGAACAAACTAACACATTAATCATTATAACCCTAACCCAGTAAAAAAAGCATAATAATCAAACTATATTGGATTTGTAAACATTAGATAATAATTGCGCTTTTCATTTGTTTAACTAATAAATAAATGCAATACTTAATTTTGGAATTTAAGAAAAAAAAGACAAAACTCTACCACAAAACGTGCTTGGGCAACACAATAACTGAAAAAAAAAATTCTTAGAAATTTCGCACTACTGCGGCAATAAACAATTAAAAAAAAAACACCAAAAGCTATAGCTTGTATACAAGTTACATATCCAGCTGCTGAACTAACTATTGATGGTTTTCGGCCTCAAGACTTAGGACACATGTGCAGGAGCAATCCTACATGGACACGAACAATAACGACAAAAACGTAGAGCAAGACGTAGGCTCCTGCAGCAAAATAACAACTCCCGAACTCCATACAGTAAACCCAAAAGTTTGGAGTAATACTAACTGCCTGGTCTAGGGGGGTTCCGCGTCGTACTTAGTTTTAAGTCGGCGTAATTGTCCCCCAAACACCAAACTGTCTGTCCCTCCCGTCCTACCTCCTTCATTACCCTACTGGACGTATAGCATCGGCTCGGCGTACCCGGCTACTAAAACTATTGGCATTTCGCTCTCGAGCCCTAATTAGGGGACAGTACGGGACGCAATGGACATTCGCAACCAGCAAACACGGGTGAAGTCGCGCCGTTGCTGGTGGCGAAAGAATATCGGCGCAAGGAAACAGAGGCATATGCGGGGCCCGGGAGTGATGAGGCAATGGGGCCGGTTATACGTCTCTTATACTCATAATCATACTCAACATAAAGATCATCGATAAAAGAATCCAAGTTTTTAACTGACCCAAAAAAAAATGTACAGCGAAAAAACAAGAATTTCGTTTTGACTTTAACTTTAACCTTGAATAACTTTTGATGGAGTGAATTTAGCCAAAAATGTTAAGAGACTTTTTTTGTAGAGCAGGTAATTATAAGAATTTATATCGGTTTTTTTCCGGGTACTGATTTTTACATGAATTACAAAATTCCAGTTAAAAGATGAAATTGTAAAACTATATAAATTTTTAAGGCGTGATTGTAAGGAAACGGTTCATCTGACGGGAAATTTTTTGTAGAGCATTCAATTTTCTTCAAAAAAGTCAATTTTGTTAAACTCAATGTTTCTGAGACAAAAACTCGTTCAGGAAAAAAATCTAAAATTGCGAAATATTAATATTATGGACTCAAACTTTCACAATTAAATAAGTTTTTTATCACCCCAAACAATATTTCCGATATACTTTACAAAAATAATAGTTGATTTTTTTGGCCCAGTCTACTGTACAGACGGTGTAATGAAAAACAATTTACTTAATTTGTTTCCAGATAGCAAAAAACAAACTATCTCTCGTTCATTTCGACTTGAACATCCAATAAATTTGTGTTTTAATTTGTAGAGCTCTTGAATCGGCCGGCGTAGCTCATGAATTTTTAACGGGTAAATTTTATTGGCTCGGGCGTTTTGTGAATGGCTGTTTAATTTTTTTGTGTGTTATTTTTGTGCCATTTCGCCGCCAGGTGGATCAAGTATTTTAATAGCTTCGACTAAATTATGCACTTCCTGTAAATTGGTTTTTCCGACTTTGATACATAAAATATTTAAGTGTAAGAAAATTTATTGCGTGTTTTAAAAAATTCGATTATTTTTTTTTAAATATCCCAAAGCTCATATAACTTTTAATCACACCTTTAAAATCAATATACAGGGCGGTAAGCAGTGATTTTTGTCAAATACAAAAATATACAAATATTTTATTCATATCCAAATTGTAAAATATAAAAACTTGATTTTCTACCAAAATATCCTTTTGATACGCCATTGATTTCTATTAACATTTTCAGTGATTTTTCTACAGTTCTGAATTCACGCGAACCTTTTTGGTCTTATCGTCATAAATAAAACATTTACGTATAAAATCTCCGCAAATAAAATAGAGCCCTTTAAACTCACCATGCAGTTTTTTATTGTCCCGAAAAATATTAATTTAAATAAAAGCTTATTTCCAGTAAAGAGTCGTTTGGTCGAGGAAAATAATTTAATAATTTTATTTTTAATTTTAACAGTGGCTGAATTATTTCGGTAAAGTGGCCATTTATATGCGTTTTATGCCATTTATATGCGTTTTTATTTCCCGCGTACAAAATAAAACTTGACCCGGATTCTTAAGTGTTCATTATTTTTTTTTCAAAGTAGTTCTCTAAGATTCGCGTTTGTTGCTGAGATGAGCCCAATTGGACACTGAAAATTAATTATTACGGTCGTTTTTTATATTTTAAAACGCAAATTTCACTAATTCAAAAAAGGAAATTTCACTAAATCTTAGAAGTTTCTGGGGAACGAAAAAAGATATCTATATTTTTACATTTTTAAATTCTACATAGTAAAATAGATTTCGAGTTAATAATTTTTTTCGTTAAAATTTGAGAAATGCGCTTCAATCAAAAATAGCCTATAACTTTTTTGATATTATGTTTGCGGAAATAGGGGTGGAATTTTTGTAATCTTAAACATTTTTTAAAAGATTTCTTATTAAAGTTAATAATTTTTCTATTTTTAAAGATAACACACTCAGAAAAATGTATATGCACTGATGATGAAACTAATTCTGTAAGCGATTAATAAAATAATATTATTTAACTTAAATTTAAAATTGTAATGGCTATAAAAAAAATACCTTCTAAGGTACCTTTTTATTAAATTTTCAGTGTCTTATTGGATCAATTTGTTAATGTAGATGCCCCGGTTGTGGCCATCGCACCGTTTGTGGCCATATACAAAATAAATCTAAAATATTAACGGCCACTTTTAAACTAGCCAATAAGACAATCTAAAATCCCACTCCTTATTGTATTATGGATCGTGCCAGTGCTTTACATTGCTTTTGTCAATTACAGTGTTTGTAAAACAATCGGTTTTTTTAACACGTGGCGAGAATGTTGTGATTTTTTAAGAATTTTGTTAAGAAACACGAGGTAAGTTAATGCATGATTCTGTGTAAGAATTTAAATGTTTGTGTTCAAAGTGGATGATATTTGACTTATAAAGGAATTTTACATGTTATTTTAACACTTTGAAGTAGATATTTAACTCATAAATAATTAAATTAATAGTGGCCACAATTGGAGCATCAAAAGTGGGTTCTGCGCCAGTTGTGGACCTTAAATGGCTACAAATGGGTCATGAAAACCAGTTGTGGCCATGCAGTAGAAAGAGATGGCAAAATGTAATACTAAACAAGGTAGAAAAGGGACACCTAACAGCCTTAAATTAATTTGTTTCAGAAAAATTATGGCACCCCGAAAATTATTTCAATATTCCTTTAAATAAAGAAGGCCTTCTATACTCTGTACAAAAAAATCAAAGAAGAGTGTAATATTCACTTATATTACCACAAGAGCTTCAAAATTATCGGGTATTTTTCCCGATAGGTTCGTTGCAAACAAATGAAGGAGTCAAGTTTTTCAGGTTAAAAAATCACGAGCGCGAAGCGCGAGTGATTTTTCCTGAAAAACTTGACGACTTTATTTGTTTGCAGGGAACCTTGAGGGAAATGCCAGATAATTTTGAAGCTCGTGTGGTATTCGGGGGATTATTTTTCCGTCCCAAATGTCGGCCAATAGAATTGCACCATGTACAGTTAACAAATAAGAATTTCATAATGAATAAAACAACATTTAATTAAGATTTAATTTGTTTTTTATATATAGCAACTACCAGAGAAAATTTTCAAAAAATTATCGCTGTAATTCGCTGTAGGTTCCCTCAACAACAATGCCTCAACAATGTCCCAACAATACAGAGAACTGTCAAAAAAAATAATCATAAAAAAAGGAAAAAATACCCCTTCCTTCAGTGGTTAATTCAGATAAGTGGATAAAAATTTTTGAAGCCAAAGAAAAATGTAAGGAAAATTTAGCTGCAGAAAAGGCGGCAAAAAGAGCAAGTAAGAGTGACAAAATAAGCAAAGGAAAAAATTTAACAAAAAAAAAGTTTAACAAAGAGGAAAACAATGAAGTGTTTTTAGATAAGCCTACACCTAATGAAGAACAAATTTGTGATGAAAATACCAAAGAGTCCAGGGAGAGTAATGATGAAAACGATGAACAGCAACCGACCAAAGAAGATTTTAATACAAACACTCCTTTGATAGAAGAGGCTAACACTGATAAAGTAAAAAATATGTTTACCATTTTAGATATAGGAAGCTATGTAATAGCCAAACATGAAGGTGAATTGTATTGTAAAACTGGAATAAACCATTGGAAATGGCTTGATTCGCCGGATCTATTGTGGTACAAAGTCCAAGACATACTGTTAAAAATAAACAATCCTAAAGCCATAAATACCAGAGGAGTCTGTGCAGTTCCTGAAATGAAAGCCTTATAATAAAGAAACTTAGTTTTGTTTTTTTATTTCTGTATATTGTTAATTTTTGTTTCTACTTAGTACTTAATTCTTTGACTAAAAATGTATTTTTTATTATTTTATACGAAAAAAAAGTGCTAACGCTTGTTATGAAACTCTTTTTTTTGTTGATGTAAATCAGGTTTTTTTAATAAACTACCTGTTCATTTTGCTTCCTATTTCATATGCATTTCAATAGGATGGCCACAACTGGTGAGGCATCTGGCCACAAGTAGAAAATAAGTGGCCACAACTAGCGAAACTGCTTTTTTCGGCTATTTTATTGAATTTGTCTTTGTCTGACCTATATATTTCAAATTAGATAAAAGTTCTTAAGACAAAGATATCTAGTTATACTATATCTGTCATTCGAGGAGGGAAAACTGTCAAAATAAATAAATTGGAGTTGAATAAAGTTAAAAATTTTCTTAAGATGGCCACAACCGGTGCATCTACCCTACTATAATGAAGCAGCAATGTTTAGCTTTTATAAAAAAAAAATATTTTATAAACACAGATTATAAAGGTTATAAATCGAAATGTATTTCTTGAAAATTGACAGATTTTTAGAAAATGTTTTATGGGCACTTTACAGTGGAGTCCGTGTCCGAATTTAAGTTATAGTTTACTGCCGGCGAAATTAAAAGGTCAGTACAATGTTCATATAAACTTTTCAAATATTGGCGTTGAGAAACTATTTAATACTTTTGTATTTTTGTATTGAGGTAATAAAATAATTTTCACATTTAGTATTATTTTACAAGAAAAGCACTTTATTTTAACGATTGTATGACATTTGACAACAGTCAACTAACTTAAAACTAATTTCAGCCCGTGACTAAAAACCTGGTGCTAACTTTAGCCCGTGACTAAAGCGCCATAAAGCCACAACTTGTCAATTTAAAAGGTCACTTAGTGTCATGGAAACATGTACGATAAAGGGCGTTTTAAAGGTGGGAATAGAAAAAATATTTTATTGTTATAAAAAGACTTTTTTAATATTTACTATTGTTTTGTAATTTTCCTTAAAAAGAGGGGGACAGGGCCAGCTTGGTGAACAAACATTTATAATCCAGTCTGTCTTATTGATTTCACTTGTGTGAGTGAAGTGTGGTAAAATTTAGCATGATAAAAATATCAAAAAGATCACCAAAAAAATTTAAATTTTGACGATTTCTAAAAGAAACATTTAACATAACCTTTTTTATACATATAGGTATTCTGGCACCATTTATATACCTTTTTGTTCAATAAGCAATAGCTATTTTTAATTGTTACGTATTATTGTAATTGAAAAAAGTTAATTAATTATTTATGAATTAACCATTAACATTACTATTTTTTCTATATTTAATAACAATATCTTGATTAAAAAATGGTTTTAATAAACATAGCAAAATAGTTTTTGTTAATAGAGTATTTTTTTTTGGTACAAATATAATACAGTAAATATGAACCATTTTCATTTAAACTCTTTTTTTAAATTTTTTGTAATATTGTTATTGATAATAATTGTTTCTTAATTTTGTTTACATTTTTTTATAAATTGTTTTATTTATATCTTTTGAAAGGGCATTAAAATTTCTTTAAAATAAAGCTTCGTTTTTTAAATTTGAGTTACATTTACAAATATCGGCAAAAAATTCGTTAAAAAAGTTAATTTTAAACTAACAAATATCAGTCGACAAATCGACTTTACCTTCAGTAGATTTACCGGTAGAAGGAATGGCATGCGAGATTACCGGATTTATCTCCCCTTGATTTCTTTTTGTAGGGACCTTGCTGGACTGTTTTGAATTTTGAATTTGAATTTTTGTGCTGTAAGTTACAGCCTGTAACAATCTAATTCTATCATTTTTCTAGATTGTATCGTTTCCCCAAACCCATTCATCCGCGCTCTCGGGCATTTTTGAATGAGCATCGTGTCGACCACAATGTGGATAAATTAATTTAATTTTCACTTCAATTTACTCACTAAACATTGTCATAATTATCGACAAAATCGCTCTATTCTTGCTCCATTCAAACCAGCTGCGGTTAAGGTGCATTTTCATTAATTACTTAAAAGCCCATATCGTTACAATTTCATCCCATTGTGGCGTGTGGCGGCTTCAGATAAAAAGGCTTTCGCGTCCGTTGCACTCCGACATTTGTATCCCGCTAACGAGCGCCGCCGCCGGGGGCGGCGGATAGGTGCAGTGCGTAGGTTGAGACTTAATACCCATTGTATTCCCTCTCCCTTAGTTGGATTGCGTTTTGGTTGCTATAGCAATTGTTTTAATTACCTTCTTAAATTAAAAACAAATCGCTGTTTTATGTCAAAAGTTATAAACCTGAAAACCAGTGACAGCTCGTGGTCAGTCGAAGTAAGGAGGCTAATAAAGTGTGTCCTGTAATTTTTTTGAAGGCACAAAATTTAAATAAAAAAACGCCACAAACTTGTAATAAAGTCTGCTAATTGCCTAATAAAAAAAGCCTCGAGGCTCATAGTGTTCCAATGATCCTGGTACAGATGTCGCTAAAAGCTCTTATTTCAAATCTATAGCTATAGCTTATATATAGGTAATTATAATGAAAATAAATACTCTACACTATGATTATTCTATTTTTTGCTACAGGCCATCTATTATTGATATCACATACTCTCTAAAAATGAATTAGTTAAAAATGACTAATTTCATAGTTATTAGTGGCTGCTTTTTCACATGGTACAAGTGTATGGTATTTTCGGATTCAGGGGACAATTTTACATAAAAATTGACTGTTAAATTTTGGGTTACCATGGTATTCCATGGTTAACTATGGTACAAGTGAAAAAGCAGCAAATAATAACTACTAAATTAGTCATTTTTGAACAATTCATTTTTAGAGAGTATGTTTTCTCCTTTAATTTCTATTTTCTTGAGAAAATAACGTAATCTAAGACTCTTTTCTGCATGCCTTCTTGCAACTCTAGACGGTATCCGCTCACGATCATTCCGTTGTACACTGTGGCACAGTCTATGGTCTGCGGCTAGCCTCCATCTTATACCGTATAATTGTTTACTGCAGCCCACGTATTCGGTCGTGAGAACTAATTAAATAAATTTTGAATAGCAACGGAATTTTCGAATGTGATGTAGTTCACTTTATAAAGTCCGATTATAAAGCTATTTTTATTTATAACGAAAAGATATCATTGTATAATAATTATGATTAGAAATTTGATTACAGTTTCGCTAATTATTATTAAAATTTAAATTTTGGAGGAGGCTAAGGCTACATTGCCCCTCCTGACTAGCCGCTACTGCTTAAAAAGTTTACTGTGTACTTTTCTAAAAACTCAGAAGCATGAAAATTGTTTTGTACTATATTTTCTGTTTCGGTCTTTTGGACCTCATCAGTGCCGGGAAGCCATGTGAGGTGTGGCATCATGTGTATTTGCAGAACTCTGCATAGTAGGAGTAAATGTCAGCCCGGCACTGATGAGGTCCAAAGTGAAACAAGGCGTTATAAAGTATCAAGTTTGTATAAAGCGACATCTATATGAAAATAAAGTAACCATCCCAATAAACAATTTTTACGTAATTTTCACCTTATTATTTTAGGTAAACTTAAGAATTATTGATACTTATATTAAAATACCTTTAAAATATGATTATGTTAAGAAAATATTTTATCCTTTTTTTATTACTATAGTATATTATTATATATATATATATATATATATATATATATATATATATATATATATATATATATTATATATAATACCCAAATATTATCCAAAAGTAATAAAAATTCTTACACGGAAAGGTACAAAAAGTAACAGTTGTAATTATTGGAATTCCCATTAAAATTTCTTGAGAATCTACCGGCGCGCCGTAAATAAATAAATAAATTTAAAATCTTAATAGTTTTCTGTGTAAATTAAAATTTATCTCTTGAAAATAGACTATCGATATGGAAGCAGTTTTTTACAGTAAAAGAGAAGAGAATGTTTTTGGGCACTGTACGCAAAATTTATAACACTTTATGAGTTAAATCTAGTTAACTGCACTACTACAAAATGAAAAGGTCAGTACAAACGTTTATATAATCTTTTTAAATATTGGCGTCAAGAAACTATTTAATATATTAAGTACTTACAGGTAGGTACTTTTGTATTTTTGTATTGAGATAATAAAATAATTTTCACATTTAGTATTATTTTACAAGAAATGCACTTTATTTTAACGATTTTATGACATTTGACAACTGTCAACTAACTTCAGTCCGTGACTAAAGCGCCATAAAGCCACAACATGTAAAAGGGTATTTAAAAGGTCACCCGCAGAAAAAAAGGTTTAGTTAGTCTAACTATTATTGGTTTCATTTAACTAAATCTGTTGTTGCAATAGAGACAAATAAACAGTAGTTTATATTAACAATTGCATTTAGTTATATTTTACAACTAAATATTTGATTAAAACAAACATATGTATATATTTAGTTGAATTGACCTTTACCTGCCAGTCCGATATACTAAATACCATTGGTTGAAAAGACTCAATATAATTTGTTACCCTAACTAGGTTAACGGCTTGGTACAACTTACCCATGGTATTTGGCGCATTTATATTCCTAACAATTAAAATAAAATATTGAAATATTTGGGGTAGAAACATTTTTGTTGGAGGAATGTTCTTAGTTTCTTCAATTAACTTCATTGACCCATTACTGGTATTATTCAAGAGAATTGAACTTCAAATACACACAGACAGCTGTTTCGACCTATATTGGATCTAATCAGTGTCGGACAACTTGTTGTAGTTGAACACCCAAAACAAAGAACTACCTGAGCTTATATATACTGTCCAACTAAGCCAACAGAGGCGAGATGTAAGAACATTACGTTATCCACGACGCCTTTGCCGCAATCGGTACATACTATACAACCAGAATGCACCGCAAATTGTTTTAATCGTTTTAACAGGGTGCTTACTGCTTAGGGTTGAAGTATC